TACACGGCGGGAGGTGTCCCTGTTCCCCTTGTCTGCGTCCTCAGGACCGGCAGCCCCATCGTGGTACTTGCTGAATGAATGAATCTGTATTGCCAGTGACCGCTCGAATCTCGGAGTCAGAGAGCGTGTCTCGTTAGCCTTCCAATCAACGCCCAGTACCCGGCACATCGTAGGCCAAACCCAAGTCTGCTGGATGGAAAAGGAGGCGACGGGCAACCCCCAAATGGTCTTCGCGGCGCTGCCGTGCCTGCCCTCCTCGCCCTAATCGAAGCTGCTTTTGTGGTCCCCTAGAATGTGACAAGAGCACCATGTGCTGGGGGACGTGGAGGCTCTGCGTTATTGTCTCCTCCACCCCCACAAGCACCCTAGGAGGCAGCATTTTAAAGAGGGACTCTGAGACACTGACAGCTCGAAGAACTCGTCAAGGTCACGTGGCGGGGGTGGGGGTGATGGCAAGGTTGGGCCCTGGACCGGGGAGCTGGCCCGGAGCCGCAGCTGGGTGCTGCCACCACACAGTCACGTGGCTCCTCTCCTTGGCCTCCATCTGAAACAGACCTTTTTCCCCCTCTTTCGGGGAGGAGGCGGGGAGCTGTGCTCTGGAAAGGCAAGCTGGTCGGACGCCCTCAGGAACTGCCCAGGACCCCGTCTGCCACCAGAGCCCAGTCCGCAGGCACAGCGGCTGGGAGCAGATCGTTATTTTCATATGACCCTGTTGCCCCTGGGACTCCTCCTTTGAAGGGGAGTCTTTTGAACTTGAACTACTTCTTCCAGAATAGCCAAAGGCAGCCCAAGAATATATTCCGTGACCAGAATTTATCGCCTTGATGTAGGCAGCTGGGGAAGAATCTGTTTAGATGTTTTGTCAGACAGGTGTCCCCCTTGCCGAAGACCATTACCCACCCAGACTTTTGTGAAGTGCTCCCAGCCCCAGGGCACTGGCAACCTAGGAAGGGAGCCGAGCCTTTGAAACACATACGACGACACTGTCTCTCTGAAGGGCCAGACAGCAAATCTTTCAGGCTTTGTGGGCCAGGAGGCAAAATAGAGAGGCCTCCAACAACCATTTTACGAGACAAAGACCCTTCTTGGCTCATGGGACGTACAGAAACAGACAGGGGGCTGGGCTCACGGGCTGGAGTCTGCCCACCCACTCGATCCCATAATTATGTTAAAAGTTTATCTGAGCATCAAGCATTTTATTCTCCTGGCCTGAGGGCAGGGCCGTGAAGGGTCCTGGGTCTCACTCTGCGAGCGAGCTGAGCGGTGAGCCTGCCCCGGTTCGCGGCAG